TATGTCAGTCGGTTTCTTTCTTCTATTAGTTTATGTAGCAATAATAATCTACTGCCGACTTGCTGGGCCTGTCACAGTTTCACCAGAGCCCCGTTAGCCTGCAACTTTTCGGGGTGACCCTGGGGTCTCCTTCACGACAAGCATGAGGTCTCGGTGGCATAAAGCCACACCGTAGGCTACTTCGTTGAACCCAGCAATCCCCTACATGTACTTTGTCCAATTTCCACCTCGCGGGACGTGGACCTGGGGTTGGGCTTTTCATGGGATCTAGCAAAACGATAACATCCAACAGAAGGGAAAAGAAAAAAAAAGAAAAAAGGTCGACAAACAGAAATAAAAGGGAACGAGGGAAAAGGAAAACTCATAAGGCACTCAGTCAAGTAACAATTTTTTTTCAAACTGCAATTTCTGTTTTCTAGCTCGCTCATCGTACTTTTGTACCCAATAACCACAGGCAAAAAATGCTTTCAAATTACAAACTTGCCCTCGTATTTTTATATATCCTAGATGTAAAAAGAAGGGGGGAAAGAAAAACTCTTGAGACTCTGGCAGTGGGCGAGTCAACTTTACTCTTGGCAATCATCTCTTGATGTTCACGTGCTCGAAGCTACATTTTGTACACCTGTGCTTACTGTGCAAGACATTATCGGTGCCATTCCACTTGTCTACCGTGATACATAATGTAATCCGTTTTACCACAAGTACCGCCTGATTGACCACGGTCTACCTTTGTTTTGTCAACATGCATCATGTACGATTACGAACAATATTTACGCGCGCGCACACACACACCACACGTACACCTTACACGCATGTACACAACGCACACACTTACTTTCTGATCAGACGCGCACGCTTACACTTACACACAGTAGATCTCTATGTCTCAGTTTGTGTTGTACATGATGTATTCCGGCCGGAATTTCCGGTTATAGCTTTCAGAGTACGCCCAGTAGACTAGAGCTGGGCCGAAACCATGATTTACGAAGGCCTTTCGGCTCTGTGCTCGCACCATTTCGATTAAAAAATTCTGTTAAAATTAAAGTGCTGATGTTATTTTGCCTAAAATTGCAAAAAATTGCGGCTTTAATGCAGAACTCGACGAAAAATGCGGCCGCAAGACCGCGATTTCCTGGGGTGGCCAGACAAGTACAATGAAGTCCAAGAGTGCTGTAAATTTTGATTTTCAAGAGTTAGGTAGGTACAGGCACTTCGAAATGATATTTTTCAATTTAAATTTAGTGATGCACAGATACTATTGGCACAATTTGGATTATTTAGGAGGCTTGCACCGACCTTGCTAGTCAGGACCTAAATTGGTTGAGAGGGATACAATATCCCAGTAAAATAAGAAAGATAAAGATACTCCATAAAATTCTTCTGCATGAGACTGCGAAGTGCTTAACCGCTTCATCACAAACACCTGTCACCATGCAAATAATTTTTTCATGAATAATCAAAGTACAAGACAGAAGGAAATTTTTTCAATAGTAATAAAAATAACTGCAAAACAAAGTTGTTCGAGTTAATAACAGCATTTTATTACAAGATAACAGAGGAAATGTCACTAAAACGTTAAATCCATGAAGTACTGACAGACAACTACAAATGTCAAGCTCCTCCAACACATTTTTGATACAACAAACTTATTCCACTAAACCACACACAGGCTTCCATCTTCTCACATATTAATTTAAACAAAAATAATACTTTCATCCGTTATTTCGTCTCCATCTTTCCATCAGTCACTCTGGGTAACACAGGCAGGATGAGATTGCCAAAGGCGGAGTCTTGAGTGATGAAGTAACCCACAGAGCTCACATGAGCATGCTGATGAAAGGAAAAAAAGATACACATGGTTAAATCCAATAAAAACTCCTTTAAAAAAATACATTACAAGAAAAAAAATTGATTACTTGTTTATGTTTTATCCCCCCCCCCCCCAAACAATCTGTATCATCAAGGAGATGGGCTTTCGTCATACCAGGCCCAACGAAGAGCTAAATGGTATACTGGGATACCGCATCCCAAGAAACAGATGAAGATACCCAATATATTACAGATTTGGAAAACTGAACTATTTATTTTTGGTGTGTAATGGACAACATCATAACCATTACACAACAGATGTTGGTCTTCTCAAATAAACCTCGTACCATATTCCATCAATAAAGATAAAAATTCTACAGCTCCTGGAAAAATAACAAAACAATAGCCAACAGTAATAAAAAAGGCCAGTGATGAACTTTGTTAGAACAAAGGTAAAGAGAAGCACATCGACACAATAATGGTCATTTAGTGCTAGGAAAAAGTAGAGTAGACAGACAGACAGACAAGTTCAAACAACAGAAGGGAAAGTAAAGAAGTAGGATCTACCAGTGGCGCCCTCCAACCACCCACCAGGTATGAACAAAGAAAAAGTTTTTTTTTTAAATAACAAAACATTGCGGTCATAGAAAATAGTTGAGAGAATGCGTACTGACAAAGTTTAGTTATTCATTTCATTGTTCATGACAAGAATCAGCAATGTCCCCAAAGGGAAACCAATAGATAGTTTTATCATGTAATCTTGGTGAAACAGAAGACCAATTCATATCTCAACAGGAACAGTATGCAGAACTGGCAGAAAGGTAACTGTGTAAAAGGATAAGACATACACACAGGCAGTTTTGCATAACATACATATCTCAAAAGTTGCCAAAAACGACTTACGTGTACATGCAAGCAATACTGCCTGCAAACTGCAAAATGAATAATCATTATAAACCATAAAAAAAAAACTTCACTCCACAACTGTCTTTTAAAAAAGAAACACATGGTTTTAGTACAGAGTAATAATAATAATAATAGATAGCATTTGTATAGCGCATAACCCCGCTCGAAAGCAAGCTCTATGCGCTTTACACTATATTATTACCCTAGCAGACCATAGAACACTCAGAAACATTCTCAGCTTCCCGGGAAGCATACAGTGCAAGCTGCGGATTTCACGCGCTCAAACACTAACAAACTCACAAGATCTTTCACTGTCTATAGCTGGGTACTCATTCCCACCTGGGTGAAGTGAGGAAAATTCGTGTAAAGTGCCTTTCCCAAGGACATAAAGTCAGGTCCCTGACAGGATTCGAACCCACGACCTTACGGTTGCGAGTCCGAGAGCCTAACCACTAGGCCACCGACGTGTATCTATGCAATATCCATGTCATCCTCTCAACAACTTTGCGTATTCTGTTGAAGCTACCTGACGAAGAAAACAACTATCCATGTGAAACCAACTAACCTGCAAAGCTGCTCTTTGCTGTGGATTGCTGATGGTGGCATACTCTGCTGCTGACAGCTGGGAATTAGTCAACATAAAAAAAATTGAATGAAAATCAGTTTCATTTCAGGTCACAACCTACAATTCTGCATTTTTAGCTAACTTATCCATTTCTTAAACTTAAACTAAATAGCAGTCAACGTTGAACTGAAAACAGAGAAATCAAATTCATAAAATACAAGACTGGTGGAAACAGTGAGCTAAAGGTAGGCATGGGCTAAATTTCTTATCTCTCCATTACTTTTAGTATTCCAAAAACTTTCCCCCACCACTACATTAGCACATTGTTGATGTTGCTTTAAAGAAGGTAATCTAGAATGACTAAATCATAGTAACTCTGTCACAGCTGTTGGCACACCTTTAGCTCTTGAAAATAACTCTATGATTGTGATGAATAAACCACAGATGTCTGGTAATGGTACACTAAGAAGGCGTAAGTCTTACAATCTTACATTCTTTTAGTTAGCCATGAATGAAGCTAGCCAGAAACAAGAATTTTTAACCAAATATGCTCCCAAAGGCAACTTGTAAAGTCTATTTACGTTCATCCTTCGTGTTGTTAGAATACAAATAGCACAATATATGCATACAATAAAACCCATGTGCTCAAGTAAGTTATACAGCCAGTCTGTGTTGAAAACTCAGAAATGCCTGAACATACTGAAAATCCAATAAAACTGCATTTTCCATTGTTGTTCATGCCTGAAAAGGAACGCCTACATGAACATATTATTTGCCCTAATAAACCACCATGCGCTAACTGAATGAGTTGTACAATCCTTATTAACGAAAATTTGCCCTGCAAAACTGAGAAAAAAAACTGCCCAGTAGAGGTATACCCAAGGAGCTTAGAACTAATGGAGCCTCCTCTCTCTCTTCGCGCCGCCACGAGCAGTACGCTGTGGTGGAGATCAAATATGGCCGCCGACTGTGGGCTAAATCACGAACTGTGGCGTTTCTTTTTATAGAATCTTATCGGGCTGGGCCACGTTGTGGGGGTGGGAGAATGCATGCAAGGAAGAGGGGATGGGGCTGGGATGAAACAGGATGGGCGGGCCTTGGGAAGGGACGAAGGAGAATGGGAAAAATTAAATAAGAGAGAGAGAGAGAGAGAGAGAGAGAGAGAGAGAGAGAGAGAGAGAGAGAGTGTGAGAGAGACAGACAGACAGACAGAGAGAGAGAGAGAGAGAGAGAGAGAGAGAGAGAGAGAGAGAGAGAGAGAGAGAGAGAGAGAGAGAGAGAGAGAGAGAGAGAGAGAGAGAGAGAGAGAGAGAGAGAGATTGTGATCAACTGACGGGCTGACGGACAATGACAGGGAGAAGAAAAAAATTCTGTGTGTGATACGGACTGTTCAATTCTTTAAGAGTTTTATGTTATAATGTTTAAAAATCACAAAGATGTGTAAAATAAGAAGAAAACTTGTCCGAGTAACAGAAAATTATCAAACATACCAAATTATAAAGATAATCTTTCAAGATGCTAAAATATTTAATTATAAGAAATGGATAAAAATATACTTTTAAACTGAATTTAAGATATATGATTGCATGATTCTAGGCGTGTGCCATAACTAACTTTATGTGTAAGGAATAGCGGACACAAAAGAGGGTCGATGCCAGCTTTATCTAATTGCTAACAGTATGTCTTGGTCTATAAATAATATTATTTGATCACAATAATTTTGTTTCCTGGTTTTCACAAAGTGGAGCGCACAATGATTTCAAATATTTAAAAAAAAAGAGATAACAGCATCCTTGGAGGTGTGATCGCATGCATGAGCGTGGATAACCTTCGAAGGTTTTTTTTCTTTTTTTCCAGTAAAGTATGATATGGAGAGCAGCGTTTTTAGTCCCTTATTACGCTCCAGAGGGGGATAATTTATCTTAGTGATGACTCTTGTGTAGTAAAATTTGTTGTTGCTTTGGTTGGTTTATTTTTTAACAACAGAATCTTAAGTGAACCGGAATTATTGATTGTGGGATCTTAGGTGAAGACTACAACAATAGAATTAAACCGAGTATAGTTCTATCTAACAAGACTCAAACTCTTATCCACCCCACCCTACCCTCTCCCCTCATCTGATATGGTTTGGTGTTTCTTTAACATAGAAAATATTCATCATTATTGTTGTTGAGTATTGATTTCATGTACTAATGGAGCCTCAAGATATCTACATTTAGACTACAGTAGCATCTAATTTGCACACACAAAGGAAAGCAATATCTTTAATTAAAATGTATAATATGTATACACACACACACATAATAATTATATATATACACATAATAATTATATATATTTATGAATAAGAATACTTTTCAATAGTATCTCGGTCTTTCTGCTGGGGTGTTGTATCCCTTTTAGCCTGGGTTGGCCTTGGCATGTAGCGCCGGAGCCAGCCTCTTATGAATATTAATGATTTAAATTGTGTTACTGGGGGCATAGAAACACTTTCATTCAATTTTTTTTAAAGGAAAACAACTTAACTGTGAAAACTTCGGTCCACTGCAGCATCATATTGGTTCTTACACTTAAATACAACACAGGTGCAAGACATTTTTACTAATTGACTTGCCTAATCTCAAGGACCTTGGATTTCAGTGCCTGAGTCGGGCAATCGCGCAGCGTAGGTAGCCCACAGTTCCGCCGCGAGAGAGGGCTCCCATCAGGCGTGCGGTGCCGCCCACAGAGCATCCTCCATTACTTTTAATCTCCTTGGGCATACCCTACACATGGTGCACGGTACCTACTCCACGGTGATTATCTCCCTTTCTCGCACATACGAAACTGCAAGCTAATGACCGTCACATGAAAGAAGCCTGAAGGCCATCTCATAAAGTTTCGGACAAAGGGAAACTACTTATATACTCATTATAATATTGACCTTCATCTAATCCTTGCAGAATCATTTCCCTTAACATTATGCTCATTCCCAAGGTTGGCGATCTGATATTTACTTACCCCTGGAATGGCAGATGGTGGATTATTAAGCAGAGGGGCTGGAGATGGGGTCATTGAACCTGCAGCGCTGAAAGCACAAGAGAAAGCAATGCACGATATAAAAGTGAGAATACACATGAACTTCACCAACTAAGGTATCTGACTATGCTTTGAATCTGCTGACCTGCGTGATTTCTCAATAACCTTTTCCAGTAGCAAGACTGTTACTATGGATGTTTGGGCAACATGCACTTCTCTTAAAACACAGAAAGTGTGAATGTTGGATTAAACAAGACTTTTGATAGAGAGAATTTGTTTTTTTTAATGGTGAAATGGTATAGGTTATATTAGGTTATTTAAGAGGCGGGATCTCCGAGTTTAACGTCCATCTCCGAAAGGACCGAACCCAGTGGAAAATCGTGTAAAGTGCCTTTCCCAGGGACACAAAGTTGAACCGAGCTGAAGCTTGAGCCCCCGAACCCACAATCTCATGATTATGAGTCCGGTAGCCTAACCAATAGGCTACTGACGCCACCCCTTTGACTGAGGAAAACTGTTACGACTTCATAAGATGGTTAAGGAAATTGAAGAAGGCTAGCAGGGCTGCAAAGTCCACACCATCCAAATGAGGGACACATGGGTCTAGAGGCTGCAATAGAACCCAGACAGTAATATAGTTTTCACTCTTCACAACACCAAAGAAATACTTCTTGAAAAAAATTGCCCCAAACCAGGAAAAATGCCGGTTCCTTTTATTTCATCATTTTGACAAGCGCCTGATTTCACCACCCTGCCTCACATATATTAGTATATGTCATTTGCAACTTAAACTTCAAAAGCAAATATGTGAAATGAAATATGGATCAAACGAATGGGTGATTGGCAGGTGCTCTGGTGTGGTTAACTCCTTCTTTCTCCCTATCAAGCATTATTTTTTGTGCTTCTTACTCGCATGTAATGATGTAACACCTCAAATCTTTGGCATTCACATGACCTGACCATGTCGCAAGTGCCGTAAAAGGCTTACTAAAACAAAATGGTAAAACGGAGATGTTTAGAGAGCTGCACAAGAAAATATAAGAAATTTTGTCCCTCGACATGCATCACGTATTACATTTATCAATTATAACCTACCTTCCAGGACCAGCATGATGTCCATGCTGAAATCTTTTTTTCTGTTCCTGAATGTGCTCCAACAATTTTCTGTTCTGACGCTCTGAAAAGCAAATATATACAGTTGAACCTGCCATGACGGCCACCTCTAGAACTATAAGACGGTCACCTGTACAAATGGCCACTTTCAATTCCCTCCCTTGCGTTTTTACTACATGTATATAATTTCACTGTGTAACACGGCTACCTGTCCAACGCGGCCAAGGCCACTATATTTTACCGCACAACCCCTATCACACCAAACAATGACACCTGTCTTAGACAGCCTCCTTAGTGACCCCATTACGTTTTGTCATAATAATTCATTGTCCCCTGACGCTGTGGACGAGCCGTCATAATCCAACCACCTGTCGTTGTTGTTAGGTTGTCCCTCCAACTTATCATGTTGCATTGGTCTCTCCTACTGTTGACCAATAGGCAACAAATTTTAAGCTGCTGGCGAAGTAAGCATGTGATCCCTCATAACCCATAAGCCTGTCCCTGTGGTTTTATGCACCCTGCACAATTTAGCAAAATTTGATCATTTTTTGCATAATTTCTGATTATTCTCCTTTATCATTCTTTGTTAAAATTAACAGAATCGCATAATTTCACATTTTGCTGCTCAGTTTGCATAATTTCAGACTTTTTCTTGCATAAAACGACAGGGGACAGATAAGCCTCATCCACAAATCGTAAGTGAGATGAGTGGATCACTTCCTTTTCATAAACATGCTTCATGCTTGATAGGTCGATTGCTTCTGATAGAGACAAAAGGTGACCGCTGAGTATGCGTGTGGGTGTTTTGTCAAATCATTGACTCAGCTTTGAGATAGAGAAGGGGGAAAATGATGCTTACCAGACGCACACCATCTACGTTTTGAAGAGTATGCAACCCTCAAAACGAAATTTTAAAGAGTAACGTTCACGCACCACCAAAACTGAAAGGGGGTAATCAGCAGATTTAATGAGTAATATACACACATCTGTGTGTAATGGGGAGCCCTGTCTTACTTACCATATATGATAAGATCAGCGGTGTGGCCGAAAGACAGGTTAGAAAGAGCCAAGGAGAAGCAGTAGAAAGGCTACAGAAAGAGTCAGGAGCCTGGAGGAGGAGGCAAAGGAGGTGAGGGGGTGGGGGCAGAAAGTGGACATGAAAGCAGAGGACAGTACATTGTTGGAGAGCTGGAAAGGTCAAAGGAGGTAAAAGGAGACAATTTTAGAGAAGAAATTTTTCCGCTGCTATCCAGATTTTCTACCAGTGCTGTGCTAGTACCACTAGCTAGTTATAGTACTCAGGCATCAGCCTCGCAGACACGATCAACACCTGTGATGTAGCAGCTTGGCATTTTGATTTTGCCATATAAACTTATAACACATGACAAAAGACAAGAATTCGATTCCCATGTGTGGGGAGATATTATATAAAGCTTTTAATTACTGTTTCTCTGCTGGAAAGTTGTATCCTTTTCTGCATGGTCGGTCTGAAAGGCATGGTCGAAGTCTGTCTTTTTAAAATATAAATAATATATATATATTATATATGTTGGGCACGATGTGTCTATTTGCGCGATTTATCGATCGCGCAGCGCATTTGGTTGATCGAGGAAACGCGCGACAATCCATCGATTGTTGCGCATTCTGTTGATCAGCGGATCGCTCAGCGCTTTTTGTTGATCCGTTTGGTTGCGCATTCTATAGATCTTACCCCTGAGTTTTGTTATGTTTTGTTGTCGTCCAGAGTGTAATTTAGTATCACTCTCCAAAGTCAAACCGAAACTGAATGGAAGTAACTGGAAGTCAGGGTTACAATAACTTACTAGTCTACAATAGTCTACATCGCAATAACGGAAGTTGAAATCAGGGGTATAGGTCGGTGAGTATCACCATCACTCCGAACACTTATTCAATATGGAGTGGTTCATGGCGATAATGGAGAAAGAAGCGCAGTTATTGTCTAAAAATCCTGGGTCTGCGTTACTGACAAAAGAGAAGTTTGACATGATTGTTAAACATTAACAAACAATTATACAATTTATCACAAGCCATTAAATCTTGACCGTATTTGGAATACCACGTGAAGTACCCAGCCAATCAAATCTGTCTAAATGCTGAGAGCAGGTGCTCGATTTAACGTTGAGTCAATTTATCTGCCTCACTCAACCGTCAACACTTTAGTTCAACACACAACTCTTCTTGGAAGCAAAACAACAGGATGCTCAAAGACTGACATACTCAGTAAACCAATTTCCTTTTTTCTTTTTAATTCACATCATCATTATAGTTTATCGACAGAATGCGCAGTAAGTATATATTTCACGGATCGACAAAAAGCGCTGCGCGATCTGCTGATCTACAGAATGCGCAACAATCGATGGATTGTCGCGCATTTCCTCAATCAACCAAAAGCGCCCTGCTATCGATGGATCGCGCAAATCGACAGATCGCGCCCAAAATATATATTGATCTAGAGGCCTAAATTAGAGGTGTGTACATGTGCATGATGGTGGTGGGTGTGTGGAGGGTGTTACTGAAGGTTGTCTGTAGGCGGGCTTGCCATGCGGTGTTCCTCCTCAGACCAGAGGCAGAATGAAAGTTGGCGCTGAACTCTCGCAATAAATAAGCAAAAAATCACAAGACCGGAAGCCGGAAACCGTTCGGAGAAATAAAGATCGGCACTATTACTTCGAAAAAATTATGTAGATAAAAGTATCGAAAAATCTAACTTTAAAAAAAAGCCCAAAACATAAATAAATAGGCCACTCAGTAACTCAGTCAACTTTTTTACCCGACTTCCGTTTTTGGGAAGATTGAAGAATACCGGACCACTCGTACATTATTGCGCGAGAAAGTGGGGTAGGTGGGGCGGGTGGAGGAGGGGAGAGGAGGGGTTCAGGGGGGTCTCCCCCCTGATAAAATTTTAATGAATTGTTCATAGATCTACCGGTCCGAGATTCTCCATTGAGAGATATTAAAAACGGGAAAATTATGAATTCCTAAGGCTGAGACATAGGCAAAGTCAGTCCGCTGGTCCGGTATTCTTCAATCTAACCCCGTTCTTGTTTAAAGCTTATTGTGTTATTTTTATGGAGGTAGGCCGGGACCACTTCTCCCGAAAAGTGTCCCCAAAGGGCCTACCTACTAAACCAGCCAACCAACAAAAAGCAGAGGATTGTAATATTTTCTCTCTTCAAATCCCAGGTCTCAGTGGCCCAGGTCTCTAGCCACAGTTAGTAAAATCTCAAAGGCCAACACTATTTCTCCCAACGTTCGGGAAAATAAAGCTAGGCACTATTTCTCCGAACGTTTGGGAAAATAAAGCTGGGCACTATTTCTCCGAACGCTCGGGAAAACAAAGCTGGCCACTATTACTCCGAACACTCTGAAATCACATCCTTTCCCGCAAATTTTGGATATATAGAGTATAGGCCTACCAAAGATTGTTCGTATACAATATGGTTCAATCGGTCCAAAAAAGTCCGCAGTAAATATTTATAAAGAAATGCTACAGTTCCAAACAGTTTTTCGCTACAGATATGACGTGTTGCCTATGAAGGGTGCTGCTCTTAAACTTAATGTGTTGTGTTCACTCGTGTGCTGTCTAGATCTAGATCTACGGAGGGTTATTGATAACGCCACATAGAATTAGCTTCTGCGTTTGTCGCGGCCGCGACCAATCAATCGTGGCTCGATTTTTTGGCATTTTTTGGTCGGGGAATAAAAGTCAAATTAAAAAAAAAAAGAGAAAGAAACCGAAACCTCTTTACTTTTGAAAGATAGTTCACTTAGCTTCACTTAGTCTCTTTCTCACTTGTTGTCACCACGTTGATTTGTTGAATACGTTACAGTTACTTTTATTTTCCCTCTTTGACTCTTTGTGGTGTTTTATTTTGTTAGTGTGCAATTTTTTTCCTTGTTACTGTTCTGATGTGTTGTTTTTCTACCATTTTTTGTCGGGAAAGGAGGGGGGGATGTTGCACACTGTAACGTCATTTAATTTGATGTTCCTTCCTTCATTAGATTCTAAATATATATACATGTAGATTTAAATGTTTTATGTTAGAGCGTACCTTCCACCAAAACCGATTACATGTACTGACACTGGCAGGCCCCTTAAAGTGTGTGATTCCATAATTTACATGTAATATCCTGTACTTAAAAAAAAAAATTTACACACTTTTAGGGTTAAAACAGGCAATTTTCTTCGGACAGGTTGACACACACCCTTATATGTTTATTTTTGTGGTTGTTTATGGGCTGTTCGACTAATTTTGATTTCATTCTGTTGTGAAACCTTTCTTTTTCACGTTTTTACACTCATCTAAAAATCTCTAGACTTGCTCTTGAAAATTGAAATAGATATAGACCCAAAAATTTGCTCCTGTGTGTGTGTCTATTCATGTGCGTGTGTGAGTGTGTCTGTGTGTGGTAGCAAGTGTGTAAGTGGAGAGTGAGGAGTGTGTGTGTTTTTCGGGCTTTATTTCATCCTTTATTCAGTAACAGGAAGTATACAAAAATAAAAACACAGGATCTATTCACTCCAGGGCTCATGAGTCGTTCCTCTCTTTCAGTTTCACTCATTCGTTCAATTCCCGTGTTCTCTCCCACGGCTCATCCCCGCCCTCATGACTTTAACAACCCACCCCCTCCCTCCAGGCACACACAAAGAAAATCTCACTCATTCCCTTGCTTCCTGCGAACCATGGGGGGGGGGGGGGGGGGGTGTCGGTGTCGTCGTCTTGTAGTTGCTGTCGCCTGTGGATACACTCGTAAATTCTACCTTTCACCCGCTCTGTCACTCACACTGTCTCTCCATCCACAACTCAGCTCGTCATACGTTCAAAAGTTGCCCACTGATCATGTTTAGTTAGTGTGTGTATAAGTTTGTGTGTGTACATGTGCATGATGGTGGTGGGTGTGTGGTGGGGGTTACTGAAGGTTGTATGTAGGCGGGCTTGCCATGCGGTGTTCCTTCCCAGACCAGAGGCAGAATGAAAGTTGGCGCCGAACTCTCGCAATAAATAGGCAAAAAATCACGAGACCGGAAACCGTTCGGAGAAATAAAGATTGGCACTATTTCTCCTAACGTTCGGCAACTTTCATCCCAACCCCATACCCTAGATCTAGAAAATATCTCTAGATCTAGCCTCAATTTCTTACCTTGTGTTGCTCCACCAAGAGCTGCATGAGGTGCGGACATAATTTTATCGAAGGTGCGCTTTGCCTATAAAGGAGGAAGTGTTCACACTAGGTCTAGATCTAGATAAATAGAATCTAGATCTACCACGTAGGGCCCTAGCCTAATCTCGTAATAGTGAAGAACTAGATCAAGATTTAGATCTAGAGATCTTACAATGAAATAAATGCAATTTTCTGAGGCTTTACCATCCAAAACAAAAAGAAGCCTAGGCCTACTAGATTCTAGATCTATAGATTCTATATCTAGAATCTATAGATCTCTAGATCTATATCTAGATCTAGATTCTCTAGATCTAGAAATCTAGATTCTAGATCTAGATCTAGATCTAGATCTATCTTTGATCAAGTCTAAATCTAGATCTAGATCTACATCCAAATCTGAATTCAATATATTCACTACTTAAGTTAATGTGAGAATATCTTTGACCTGGATTAAGATCCAAAACTGTATTCATCAATACTATTACAGTCAAAGTGACAATTACACATGATCTGGACTGAAACGTGAAAACACAATAAACACAAACACAGTGTGCTTCACTTAGAACTTTAAAAACATACATCCGGTTTCGCTTTCAGATGCCCGATTTTGTTGGGGGAATAAAAATATCAAATCATAGCCAAGGCCTACTAGATTTTACTCTGGAATACTATGTTATAATAAATAAAAATAAGGGTTGAAACGTCCTTACAATCTAGTGTCTTAAAGAAAATAAAAAATACGGCATTCTAACTGTTCATGATATTAATCACATAGATCTATATGTTGTTCTTGAAATAGGCCTAATTTGAAACAGATTGCGTACTTTGAATTTGCATACTCTAGCCTAGGCCTATCTACGTTTTCAAAGCTTTCCACCGGCAAAGATGAGTTCATTTTCAATAATTTAACGTGAAATAATTTTCAATTATGGTGAAAGATATTTAAAAAGTGTTCACTAGCATGACCTTTACGTTTGACTTTTTTTGTTTCAAAATCCCTTGGAATTTTGTCAAGCCTACCAAACTGGCATAATTTGACACCTCCCATCTATTTTCACAGCTGCAGGTGGCGTCTCAGAAATGGCTGCTATAGAGGAAATCGGGGTTCTGAAGGGGGATGATAACAATACTTCTAAACCAGCTGACGACAAAATCAAATTCAAAGACCCACTGTTGACGGGTCTTGACAGAGAGAGTGATGATGATGGGGTATGGTGGTTGTGTGATTTATTTTATGGTTACCCACACTTATCTACGAGAGGCCCCCTGCTGATTTTATGTTTTTGATTTTCTGACTCAGTCAGCAGAGACAGTAGTTTTGGGAACTGGCCAGCAGCAGTCAGGCTCAGCCTCTACAAGATTCTAGATCTATTGTTAGTCATGAACTCAGTGAAGTTGTTCAAGAAATCTGCCTGCTAGAACCCTTTCTTTCACAGTTTGCCCCAATTGTGCGTTTAACAAGACTGCAATATTAATATAATGTGCCGTGTTCATGTCAACAACAATCACTTACAAGACAATAAAGCGAATCTCGACTGCTGCATGATTGATGATACGATTGATAACAATGATTGATTGATTATGGTCAAACTGATTTAGTGATCCAAACTAAACTGGTTGATTTCTAATTCTAAACTCTTATTCTCAAACAATAATTGTTCTTCTATAATTTCATGTTTGTGTAACTGGGTCTATTTGTAAGTGTAAATATCCGCAGTGTTGTGGTCCCGTTTCTTTGTTGACAGTTGGATACAGTAATATCTCGCTTCTGGGTGACGATACTGGCCAGATTTTCAATGCATACAATGCCAAACTGCACATTAAAATAGCCAAAGTACAATTTTTTAAACAAATGGATCGTGTCATGAAAAGGAAATGGCTATCCTCACCCGGGGTGAGAATAAAAATACGATCGACCTCTCACCCGGGGTGAGACTTGCCAGTGTTGGCTATTCTCAACCGGTATGAAACAAGACCTGTTGTTCCTAAATTCGGAATACCGTCTATCGGTGTGGATGATCAAATTGACAAAAGCAAAGAAAAAATGATGTTATAGCACAAAAGTAAGCTAATTTGATTGACTTCAAAGATGCCATGGGCTATTTCACTTTTCAAATCGAGCGGAACTACACGGGTCACCATTTTGTTTTGCCCGGAAGCTCTCGCAAGATCTAATGCTCCTCTCTCTGTCTCTCTCTCTCTCTGTCTCTTTCTGAACACTGTCTATCGGTATGGGCGATCAAATTGACAAAAACAAAGATAAAAAAATGATGTTGAAACTCAAAAGTAAATTAATTTGGTCGTCTACAAAGATGCTACGGCTATTTAACTTTTTTAAACGAGCCGAACTACGCGGGTCGCCATTTTGTTTTGTCCGGAAGGCTACTCTCTCTCTTTCTCTCTCTCCCCTCCCCTCCCTCTCTCTCTATCTTTCTCTCTCGCTGCCCAAAGACAAAATTGCTCGCTTTCAACACAAGAGCGCTGGAATGTTTGTTCTCGGCACAGAATTCTACACTTCTGTTATCACTGTGGTTCACAGTAAACGCTACACTGGTTGGCCTAGGGTGTCACTGTGAACGCATACCTGGTGAGAATAGCCAAAAGGCTCGCCTGCGTTATAATTGTCACCGCAGGTGAGAATAAAGGTGGCCAAAAAAAAAAGGGGGG